TCTCATGCTACTGCTCTTAAGGGGAAAGAAACAGGGATCTCTGGGCTGGGAGATAAGTTTGGTCAAGGATGCTTGCTTTGGAGATGCTGCTGAAAACCCAGAGGAACCAGTAGTGAAATGCTAGCCCTTAAATGACTGGAAAATCACCCTTAACCCCCTTCCCTGCCTCTCACTGACGCTCACAGTAGAATAAGCTAGGCCAAAGCTAACACAGCCAGTCAGTAACAGGCCTCCTCAACTCCTTGGCCAGGGCTCAAAGCTTTCCATGGTGTCTATTAGTCCCAGAGAAAAAGACAAAGACCCAGAGGTAAAGACAAAAAAACTGGCCTTCCATCTTGGCATAGATCCACTAATCCTGGCTTTTCATCACTGCTTGTCAATAAATATCCATCAATGGAGTCCATGGAAAGAAATGTTCCTCCTGACCAAAATGGAAAGAGGAGACTCATTCCAAAATAACATATTTAGTACATCTTTACTTCGTCATTGTTTTAGACTAGATAAGCATGGATTAAAAAGAAATTTATATCCCTTTCTAACTTAGAATTAAAAAGAAATTTATATCTCTTTCTCACTTAGAATTTCATTCCCATTAGCTTTTAAAATTTCCTTGTTGATGACTTCCAGGTGCTATGAGTCCCTGGCATTAAGAAGTACACGTAGGTTGGGCACCAGTGGCTCATGCCTATAATCCTAGCGTTCAGGAGGGTGAGATCTGAGAATCATGATTTGAAGCCAGCCTGGGCAGAAAAGTACATGACAGTCATATCTCAAATTAATAATATATACATACAGGCACAGATACACAGACCCCCACACACAGACCCCCCCCCCCCCCCACACACACACTCACATACACATATACACACACACATGCTCAGGGACAGAGCTCAGGCATTGAGTTCAATAATAGCAAGAAAGAAAGAAAGAAAGAAAGAAAGAAAGAAAGAAAGAAAGAAAGAAAGAAAGAAAGAAAGAAAGAAAGGAAGGAAGGAAGGAAGGAAGGAAGGAAGGAAGGAAGGAAGGAAGGAAGGAAGGAAGGAAGGAAAAAGGAAAGAAAGAACTAGAGAAAGAAAGAAAGGAAGGAAAGAAGAAAGAAGGGAAGAAAGGAAGGGAAAGAAGAAAAGAAAGGAAGAAAGAAAGGAAAAAGAAAGAAAGAAGAGTGCACTTATCCCATAGCTAAAGACTAAACTGGAGTAACTGAGAGATCTTTGAATATTTATTAGATCTAGAAGGAGCTTTGTGTTGCTCTGGACCATATTCTAGATGAAGGGACTGAGTAGTTAATTCTAGGCTACTCAGTTCCTTAATGGATTACATGCCAGAAGAAAGAAAGCTCCTTCCATTTCATAATTACAATACACGTCCCCTTGTAATACTGAGATGATTATTATTATGAAATACATGGATGATGCCCAACTTCAGGGGGCAGAAGACTTATTGCAACCTGGTTAATCCACAGTAGTCTGCATGAGGTGTGGACCACGAATTATCCTCACCATCTAGTATCACATGGAAAAGCCAGTGCCCAGAAGTCAAGAGGAAATTTCCAAGCTTATAGGATGAATTGGCCAAGACTCTGTGGCAACTCATTGTCTCATTGTCATTAGCTAAGGAATCAGGATATGCGTCTCATCCTTTCCCTCTCTCTAACCATTTGGGTGACCTTGGACAAGTTCCCTCCTCTCTGCATCTCAGATATAAGATTTCTAAGAATATCTCAGCTCTGAATGCCTCTAGGTTTTGTAAGGCTAAGGAGTATTTTGTGTCTAAAACATGATTGTGAAAAGCCAGAAATCAACTGCCACTTTCACACACCTCCAGAATTCTCAGACTGGAAAGGATCAATGAGCTCCTCTTCAAAGATATAAAGTGTCTTTGGTGATTTGTATTAAAAATGATGAAAATAAATTTCCCCCCACAATTTTCTTTTTAATCTCAGTGTCTGTAATCACTTGTCTGTGCACAAGAACAAGCATACAACACAAGTAACTGATAACAGACACATGAGAAACTTGGAAGGATGGTATCTTCATCATTTCATAAGAAAATGACATGATATTTGTTGAATATTCCGCATGCCATTCAGTTTCTATATACTCTCTTATTTAAGATCTGTAAATGGGGCTGTAGATATAGCTTCCTGATAGAGCACTTGCTTAACATGCATAGGGCCCTGTAGTTCCATCTCTGCCATCCCCCTACCTTAAATCTATTAACAGTCTATTTTATCATATCCTTTTGACAGAAGAAAAATTGAAGCTCAAGAGATGAAATAATTTTCCCAGTACATATATATCAAACTGGTACAGAATGAATCTTATTTGCAATCAGCTTTCTGATGCCCAAACTCAATATTTTCCACAGTGTTAAGTTGCACATACAGAAATAGACGTATTTTTTTGGTAGAAAATGACAATCACAATATTTTATTGGACACCACAAAGAACAACACTTTGGTTTTCTTGGGCTGCAAAATTTGAGTATCTGTAAAATAGGTCAAAGGATTATCAGCCATAGTTGGACTTATGCCAATAATTTAGGAGAGACAGAATACTTTTTCTAGAATTACTCCAACTAGAAATAGTTACTATGTTCATGAGATCAAAGGCCATGTGGCCTTGACTTTGGAATTCATGTTATTTCACACATTTACCAGACTTTTATGTTGACCCCTCTCTAGTTATTATGAGGTTCAAAGAGTGGAAGCATGTCTGAGGTCAGCAACAGAGCATGGGGCAGAGCTGGAACTGACACCAAGTCTCCTGGCTCTGGGCTCAGTGCTCTTTTGCTTGCCTTGGTAGTAAGAAAAGTTAGTCTAGAAGGAAAAGAAGTATGGCCCAGTGGATAGATAGAAGCACACATCCTCATAATATAGTGCTTCATGGTTATGCTGTGCTGACTGGGTGAAAGAATCCATCTTTGCTATAGCCAATTATACTGAATGCTTGTGTCTGGAATATCTTCCCATTCTCTCCCCTTCTGCTGGTAGGACCAGCAGTGGTCCTACCCTGAGATACCTGTTGAAGGAAAGGCCTCTTCCAGGAATGAATGAGTGACCTAGAAACTCAATTTGAAACAAAATTACCTTTTGATAAAGTTGAAGGAGAGTTGATGACAATGGACATTTTAATTCCTAGGTAGCTACTCTACCATTCTTTGCAGACTGGAAGTTTACATTGCCAGTGCTCCATAATCAAGATTGTATTACTGGACAAGAGACTTGCCAAGTATGTATCACCTGAAAGCCATCAGCATGCTCTCTGGGAGCAGTAAATACTAACAATGTAACACACCCCTGGACAAGCCTGCTTTTCTTCCCAGCCCAGACAGATGCCTCACCCTGGGTGGAACTCTATTCTGCGGGTCTCTCTGAGTAGAGGGCTGAGCCTGACTCAAGGGAAGAGTTCCCACACAGGTGCCAAGCATGCAATTAGTGTTTAACACTTTGTGTGTGTGTGTGTGTGTGTGTGAGAGAGAGGGGGTGGGAGAGAGACCCTTATTTGGAGACAAGATCTCCCCATGTAGCACTGTCTGGCCTTGAACTCACAACCTTCCTGCCTTAGCCTTCTGAGCTGGGGCTATAGAATGCCACCACAAGTAACTAACTTTTTATACGAACAATGGAATATACCTTTTAAACTATACTTTTGCATGTAGAAAACCTAAACTCTTTTAATTTTCAATGTGGCTGTCACCTTCTAGTTATCAAATTAGAATAAAAATCCAAGTTTGGTTTTCTTTTTTTTTTTTTAATTTTATTTTATTTTATTTGAGAACATACTGTACAGAGGGGTTACAATTACATGGGCAGGATAATGCATACATTTCTTACCAAGCATTGCAGCCTCCTCCTTTGTTTACCCTTCACCTCCCTTCCAAGTTTGGTTTTCAAATCCAAAAATTTGGTGCTGTGGAGTACTATAGGTTGTTGACTACAGGGCAATTGGACTTGCCCTATTCCACTATATGTTAGGACTACAGGAAATTAAAAACCTCTGTCTTATATGTAATCTGCCAAACTTTAAATATGCACATGGAAAGAAGAAAGGGAAGTTAAAGAAAAATATGGAAAAACTAAATGTGTAGAAGAAAAATGATGAGAAATCAAAGTTGCTGCATTAACAGCAAGGTCAGATGCCTAGAACATCCAAGGGAAACGCCATAGCAGCAAGGTCAAACACCTATATTTGCTTCTGCGGCATTGAACCTCTGAGCAGACAAACTCAAGCGTTTTACTATTCATGCAAGATGGAAAAGTATCCATCTTACGTTCAATGCGTCATTAAGTATCCATTATGGATATTATACAAATGATCCGTATAAGCTAAACTATGAGAGGGTATTGTAATATTTTACTTTATGGCTAGTCTTGGAGGAGATGACTTTATCTCATCCAAACTGTCATTCACAGATGAGGAAATTAAAGCTCCACTAAGAGAAATCCTCTAGTTTTAAACTGATACTAGTAGATGTGAGAAGAGCCCCCCCCATACACTGTGTCTTCCCATCCATGAAGCATTAGGACTCTTTGGTGTGAGTTTTCATCCCAGTGTTTTGTCAGAACCCACAACACTCCACATCTCAGCTGTTGGATGCTAAAGCAAGGCAGCAGGAGTTTGGTTAGCTGAGGCTCTACTGGCCCTGATGTGCTGTTGCTGGACCTAGTGAATATCCCAATCTTCCTGGTACTTTAGTCCAAGTTCATTAACATTTTTCACTCTTGCGACACAGAGCTATCTTTTCCACCAGCCCCTGCTACATCTCAAAGTACCCTAGACAGGGACTCTATAATAGTTCTTTCTTGTTTCAACTCCAAAGGGGAAAAGGAATCCAGAGATTGAAGTAGGAGTAACTAAGGTGATTAATTTCCCATTCTTATTCAGCAATTCCCATTCATGAATGTTTCCCTCAGAATAGAATGTCACCAGGGTAGAGGGCCTCTAGCAACATTCTAGTTGGATTTCCTTTTGTCCTGGATGAAATTGAGGACCTGGAAGGGGAGTAGCTTTGAACTGATTCAGTATAAACTGTGTGCCTGAGGGAACAAAGATGCGGCTGGAGAATACTTCTTTCATGGTATTGATAGCCTATGACTTGGTGATCCATGTTTCTACATTCCAGTATTTAACTTGTCTTCAAGTTTATTGGAACTAACAGGAAAAAAAGAAAGTGAAGATGTTCGGGGTTTGCACTATATGCTAGCATTTCGTATTTATCTGCTTTGTATGTCATTGGGAACAAAACACCATCTAGTATTGCTTCCAGATGACAATTTATGCAAGCATTTCAATTTGTATAGATATTAACATTTTATTTTTTCTCAAACTCCAAAATCTATATTGTAGTAATCTACTATGACAAGCCAAAAGGAAAAAAGAGAGTTTTGAAAATGTAATTGTATATTTATATATACATCTTAATATTTTTAATACCACGAACTAATATATGTTACATGTGGAAAGTTATAGAATTGAAATATAAAAGAAGACAACTTGCAATCGCTTCTTACAAAGATAATGTTGTTTCTATGACAATGTTATGTTTGTCTTATCTTTTTTCTATGCAATTATATGTTTATATATACATATATATACTGTTTATGCAACCATAATTTTGTGAACAAATTATCAAATGGTCTATAGGCACAGTGAGATGCAATTATGAGCAAAACATGGCCTGGTCATCAAGTTCCTTATACTCTAAACTTGGCAGAGTAGATAAAATCACAGGCTCTTTTAGGTCAGGTGAAATGTTTGTTCTCCTACTAGTCTTGTTACCAGATAAAGCCTAAGTCCCTATCACTAATTTTTATAGTCTTAGCAAGTTTAAATCACAGTTTTCTTAAACTTGTCTACATTTATTTCGATCCATGAAAGTCTTAGTCACTGTACTTCTAGAACTCAATGAGCACCTGTGTGGAATGGCAGAGTCCAGTTCCCAGGAATCATAAAAATAAACCTTTCCAGCAGCAGGTGCTGCCAATAGTGATACAAGTAGCAATAGACCCTGACTGTAGGAATAGAGGCCTTCCTTATGTCAGAGTCCCTGAAGCAAGAGGAGACACTTCCACAGATATCATCAGCTTTCTTCTCCTAAACACCTGCCATAGCTAACACACACACACACACACACACACACACACACACACACACTGGTGAGGTAGGGTGAAGCTGAGACTCAGAAACATGAAACTGCTTAACAGGCTGGGCATAAAAGAGGCAGAGCAGAATCAGGTGTTATAATTCCAGTCCTGCACTCTTGCTACTTTTCTTTACCTCTAGTAAAGGTATGGCTGAGTTGGCTGAAGAATCTGAATGGTCCAAAGACACACACACACACACACACACACACACACACACACACACGCACACACCTTAAAAACCCTGTGTGAATACCCTATAAAAACAGACAATCCTAAGCAAATGCTTCCAGGCATTCTGTAAGTGCTCTCACCTGGGAAGGATCTGCCTCATCTTGTGGTACATGAACCCTTGTTGGGGCCTGATTCATAGTTGAATATTATTTTATGTCCAGACCACCCACAGAAAAAGACTGTCTCCAGACAGGCTAGGATCCCTGCCACTGGGACTTTCCTGCCCTGCATCACACATGACCCAGGGGCATGATCTCCCCACCAGACAGGGTCAAGAGGCTCAACATGCTGAATCCCAGACAATGCTCAGTGAATACCTCTAAAGAGCAAGATGCTGGGCTAGCCTGTATGGGGCAGAGATTACATAACCTCTACCTTCTAGAAAGCATGCCATTAACAGTAGGGTAATATAATAACATCATGTCCATAATACATTTTATGATTCATGGGCATTGTCTTACCTGACTAACAATAGCCTTATATAAGTCTTATATAATCACCTTTACCAGATGAAAATGTTTGGATTCTGAGAAGTTCGCTGACTAGGCCTAGATTAGACACACAGTGAATATTGCAGTTTGGTTCTATAAATTCCAGTTCTTCTGACTTTAAAACCAAGTAGCCCACTTTCTCCATTTTCCATCTCAATATGATACATGCTTTCAATTCCTTGTGTGAGTATCGTAAAAGTTCATTATCCTCATTTAACTGGTGAGAAACTAGGCTCCAAAAGGTGATGAGAGAGTTATTTGAGGTCACCAGGGATCTTCTGGTTTCAAGGCCTGGTATTCCTCCTCCTCACTTGGCCCCAGCTGTGAGAAAGCAATGGTGAAGAAACAAGAGTCACAAAGATTCAAAGCAAGTTATATGTGTCCATGAGGGCTCCAGACAAATGCTCTGGGTACCTCTGCTAAGAAATACCCTGGAAGAGCCATTGCCCTTGCCCAGTGTGTGGGTGTATTGTGTGTTTTGAGGTCCAGCCAGCTTCCTCTTAGGTGTTATTGCCTGTGATCTCCCCTGAACTAAAGGCTAGGACATCACTTTCTAGTGACCATGTGCAGCTGTAGTTTGACAATACAGCTTTGTGAAGAAAAATGTGAAATCAGTGACAGACAGGGAGAAATCTGGTTAAGGAAACATAGAAATAAATGAGCACTGGCATTGTCCACTGCCTGCTCTTGACAAGGGCTGTCCAGCATTTACAGGACACTGGCCTGCTCCATCCACCATGGACAGAGCACTCTGATTTTACAGTCCTTGCTTCAGAGACACTCTGAGGGGGAATAAAAGGCAGAGACAACTAGGCAACTGCTCCAGAAACCCAATGAGTTACAGGGGGCCTTTAAAATTGGCCTTAGGTCAGGAAGGAGACACATACTGAAGAAACAGTTCTGAAGGAATGAATCAGTCTTGGAGATTAGATGGTGAAAGAAAGGAAAATGAAGGGAGGAGCTTAGTAACTGAAGTATTAAAAGGCCAAAATGCCATCCTGGAGATCAGGACCACAGAAGAAGAGTGTGGATGATCATAATTCTTCATATATCTGCAGCTTTGAGGTGAGCCTCCAACTCTACTCTCATAATTCACAGACATTATTTTAGGTACCGCTGGCCTTAAAGGCAGAGTTCGGAGGTGTTTGGGAGAAGTGGGAGAGAGCTACCTTAAGAACTCGTGGTAAGCACAAGAAGAAGTCTGAGTAGAAGCAAATTGGCTCTCTCAGTCCCCTTATAGCTAATATCATGGATTTCTTGGTAAAAGGTCCCAGTGTCACACTGGCAGGGTCACGTGGAATGACTTGGGGATTTGGGAAAGAGGATCCCTCATCTCCCATCCTTCTCTAGAAAAAAGTTATCTTGGAGAAAAACGGTTTAAATTGTAATACATTATTTATAGCTAAATTAGCATCTAATATGTCATGGGTATAACAAATAACTTTGTAACTGGAATTAAATACTTAACAATTTGAGACGTTAGATAGCATTGTGAAGGAAGTACCAACTGAAAAATAACCTAGTGATTTTTTTCAGATCAAATTATAAAGCACCCTGAGAGCTCTAGCATCCTTTCGAGATGTCTTTAGAGGGGACTAGAGGTAGGAAAAGGCAAGATAAGAATTGCAGCTGGGGCTGGGAAGGTGGCTCAGTGGTAGAGTGCTTGCCTTGCATGCATGAGGCCCTGGGTTCGATTCCTCAGCACCACATAAGCAAAAAGAAAAAAGCCGGAAGTGGTGCTGTGGCTCAAGTGGTAGAGCGCTAACCTTGAGCTGAAGAGCTGAGGGACAGCACCCAGGCCCAGAGTTCAAGCCTCATGACCGGACCCCCCCCCCAAAAAAAAAAAGAAATGTACTCATTACCTTGCTCATGTAATTGTAACCCCTCTGTACAGTATTTTCACAAAAAAAAGAATTAAAAATAAAGCTATCATATATCCAAAAAAACATTAAAAAAAAGAATTACAGCTATCAGCCAGCTCCTCACCTTATTCCAATCTCAGCAGAAGTGAGATTAGCTGAGATACAGACCTCTGCACCTGCACTGTGAGGGGGTGCAGATGTACCCCCTGCTGATGCGGAGGGTGCAGTGAGGGACCAGATATGCTGGGTCTCACACAGGATCTGTTTTGTTGCCTTCTTGGCTATCAGCCGCTTAATATCCCTCAACAGGTAACCTTTTCAGTATCAAGTCCAAAACTGCACAGGCCATTGACTTAGGTTCAATAAAATACAGCTGTTCTTTAAGATCCTGGCGCTTTCCTGATCTCATGGCAGGATCTCAGAGACCATCTGGGGGTAGATAATGGAAGAAGCACAGATGGCAAGTAGAACCAGTCTCTGAGTGATGACAGAGTCTGTCACTTACAACCTACACTACAACAATCTTTGTCAACTTTGTGTCACTGCAAATGGGAATGATGAATCGTATGCTCTGGAGGGGGAAAGAGGGAAGCTGCATATTATGATTGACAAAACTCTGAACAAATGCAAGTTTAGTTTGGAGACAGAGTCTTGCTATATCTAGGCTGGTCTCTACCTCTTAGACTTCAACAGACCTTCTAATTCAGCCTCCTAAGTAACTGGGACTACAGATGTGTACCATCATACTTAGTGAGGTATTTTATTTCATGAACAGAAGGAAAGGAAGGAAGGAAGGAGGAAAGGAAGGAGGGAGGGAGTAAGGGAGGAAAAGAGGAAGGAAAGAAGGAAGGAAGGAAGGAAGGAAGGAAGGAAGGAAGGAAGGAAGGAAGGAAGGAAGGAAGGAAGGAAGGAAGGAAGGAAGGAAGGAAGGAAGAAAGGAAGGAAAGAAGGAAGGAGAGAAGGAAGAATGAAGGATTCAGTGCTTCTTCGAATATGTTGAAAAATACACTAACTGCACATCAAATTCCTGATTTTTCTATCTTGTTTTATCTGTATTCACACTTGTAAGTGGTTACTGGACAGTAAATCTGACAAGTTGGCAATATCCATATAATGTTGTGCTGTAATTTGTGTGATATGGGTCAATATTTCTTTGAAAAAGCAGGATGTTTTTGAGCTATTGCATACATTACTAAAGAACTCACAAAAATAAAAAATATGCTTTGGAAGTTATTGCTCTCATTTTATTTTTATTAACAAGGTAACTGAGTAAGTTCCCTATAATGTTGATACTTTATAACACTTCTGTAATCCTGCCTCCAAATGAGTAGAAAATTCTGATGTGAGAAGCCTAAAATAATCAAAGAAAGGTATGTGGAGAAAATTGGCGATTGCAGTCCAAACCATAACATTGTATTCATTCAAAATATGAAGTCAAGGGATTGGGAAGTTAGCTCAGTGGTAGAGTGCTTGCCTTGCATGCATGAGGCCCTGGGTTTGATTCCTCAGCACTACATAAACAGAAAAAAAGCTGGAAGTGGTGCTGTGGCTCAAGTGGTAGGGTGCTAGCCTTGAGCTGAAGAGCTGAGGGACAGCGCCCAGGCCCAGAGTTCAGCCCCATGACTGACAAAAAAAAAAAAAATCTGAAGTCATATGATAGTAAAATCTGACATGAACATGGAAGAGTCATTGTTTCATGAAAAAGAAAAAGATTATATAGTCACCTATATTATACATCTATAATCATTTTCCTCCATATATTTGAACTATAAAATGTATGTCTTTCCAATGACTAAGTATATCTTGTTGAGAATATCATAAATTCTATTTGAACAATAAAACTGTATGCCTTTCCAACGACTAAGTATATCCTGTTGAGAGAATCATAAATGAGAACAGGGATTTTTAGTAACTTTAGAGCTACATTACTAAAATACATTTTTAAATTTAATATTGACATCTTTAGTCATAGAGATGAAAAAATAAAATGTGTAGGTATGTTATTACAAGAAAAACCAAGTTGCATTTATGAATGGTCTTCTATGGACTAAACACTCATGATACCTCATTACCTCAGTAGCTTTCATCATGAGCTCTGTCATCTGTATCTTTGGACACATTATCCCCCGCCACCCTCTGCACAGCATATATGTCAGAATCTACCTCTGATAACACACTTCTTTCTCCTCCATTGTGTACCTGAGGGCTTCACTTTTCCCTCTGGATCCCATTAAGATTCAAGTCCTCTTAGGTTCTCATATTCCATGTTTCTCCAGGAGTCAGATCCTCTCTATCCTGTATTATCATTGAGTCCAACAATAGACTACAATCTGACCTTCTTGAAGGTCATGAAGAAGTGACCATGTTACTTTCTTCTATGTTAAGAGTCCTATGCACAGGGCAATTCCTAGCCCATAAAATGCCTCTCACAATGTTGGTTGGATGAACAACTGAATGACTTATTACTTCACTAAGCTTATACCCAAGCTGACTTTTACTAGTCTAAAACTTTCAGACAGCAATATGAGGACCAAAGAATGCTAGTAAGTGGTTGCTCTGTAGTTCTTAGAATTAAAACAAATGACCTGACTGCTCTCCTTGACTGTGACCCACTGTGAGAGAATTATGTAGTCCTGATGTTAGTTCTTGATATTTCCATTTTGTTGGTCTATTGTCAAAAAGCACAATTAAAAAACAAAGACCTCAAAATAATCTCTGGTACAAAGAGTATCAATTCACATAGAGCCCAAGAGTATTCAGAACCTCTGGTAAGGACTAATGATTGTTAGACACATTCCCACTTGTAACTTTCCAAATGTCTTGTGCATGCAGTCTATCAGACTGCATGTTAAGGGAATTTGGACATGAGGACCAAATACATGCTGACCTTCTGTCTTCTCACAGACTCTCCCTAGATATTGAGGTAATACACATGTTAGAAATAGTCCTCTACAGCTAGGAGGTAACAGTGGTGCCTGTAATCCTAGCTACTCAGGAGGCTGAGATCTGAGGATCATGTTTTGAAGCTAGCCTGGGCAGGAAAATCTGTGGGATCTTTATCTCCAATTAACCACCAGAAAACTGGAAGTGGTGTTGTGGCTCAAAGTGATAGAGTGTTAGCCTTGAGCAAAAGCTCAGGTACAGTGCTCAGGCCCTGAGTTCAAACTCTACAACCTCCTCTGTACCAGAGGAGGCAGAAACAGAGGCCTCTTGCCTGGGAATCAGAAGGTCTGCCTCTGTCTTCCTCTACTTATGACTTTTGTTGAACTACTTACTTCCCTATTTGAGTGTTAGTTTCCACACAAGAAAACTTTGATGATTAAAACAGAATCAGGGAAATGAGTATTAGAGCAGACTCTCAGATTTATTTTGTCCTGTCTGTATGCTATGGATTGAATTGTGCCCCCCGCCCTGAATTTGTATGTTGATATTCCAACCTCTTGTATCCCAGAATATGACCTTAATTGGAGATAGGGTCAACAGAGAGCTAATCAGAAGTAAAAGAGGTCATTAGGGCTGGTTCTATTTCAATATGACTGGTGTCCTTGTGAATGAATTTGGACACAGATAAAGCCATGCACACAGGAAGAAAGCCACATGAATGTACAGATCCATCTTGAAGTCATGGAGCACCTGGAGCAGATCCTTCCTCCATAGTGGATACCTCAATACTTGACTTCCAGTGTTCTGACCTATAAAACAGTATTTTTTTGGACTCTTAAACCATATAGTCAGTGAGATTTTATGGCAGCTTAAGCAAATACACCCTAATTTTTCGCTACAGTTCTTACCATTTTTTATTTTCTTCCACCAAGTTGTTTGACCCATTTAACTTGTCAACTGACTATTTGGGCATTAGAAGCTGTTACATCAGCACAAGATCATCCAAAGATCTTTTTCTAAGAGTCAAGTTCCACAAGCTGTATTTCAGATCCTAGACTGAATGCTCAAAAAAGAGTGATATGCTGGTAAATGTTTAATTATTGGCTCTTGAAATGGAGAGAAACCTTGATTTACCAAATTTGTCAATTTCCCATTATGGCAGATCTCAAGCTGCCAAACAGGACCTCACTGAAAGTGGAGATAAGAAGATAGGCATACCATCAGTTTGGGAGGACTGGTAGGAGCAACTTGGGCAAACCAAGTGTTCTCCAGGCTGGGCATGGAGATCTTTGTACCTACATGCCTTACACCTGAACTCTTTAAATCTCCTGAGAACCATCAGAAAAACAGAGTTCTAATCCAGGCTTTTCTTTGGATTTACTGAGTGCGTTATGATGAGTCTCTGGGTCTCAAAAGTCATTGTCTACAAATGAAAATGTTTGAGCTAATTAGGGATTACAGGGTTGGTAGTTTAGCTTCTATACTACTCAGGATCAAGTGGGGACAAATAAACTTGGACTAAAGGAACTAAACTTACTTTAATGAACTTTGCCTGTGTTCAGTTAAAACAGTGGTGTATCAGATCAGGTTTATTTTGGTGTAGGGTATAGGGTGGCTCCATTGCCAATTTTTTTAAAAATGGCATAAAGAACCTCAATGAAAGCTGTAATCAACAGAGAATTATTGAGAAGAGAGAAATAGGCCCTGTTGGATGAGTAGATACTAGTAGGAGGGGGTTGGGCTAACAAGGAGGATGAATAAGGATGAATATGTAGAAGTAGATGAATATGAATAAGTAGATTACTCACATAAAACATAGAACAAAAGACCTGTTAAAGGAAGGAATGAAGTGATTGAGGAAAACAAATTGATTGGAATACATAGTATACATGAGTGGGAAGGTCACAATTCAATTCTTCCCTCCCCCCCCCATATAACCAATGTATGCTAATAAAAACAAAATAAAAACAAAACAAGTAACCCCTGAGTTTTTTCAGCTGAGGTTTTATTAGTTATTAATTAATTAATTATTTTCTGGTACTAGCACTTGAACTCAAGGCCTGGATGCTGTTCCTTAGTTTGTGTTCCTCAAGGCTGGTGCTCTACCACTTGAGCCTTAGTTCCACTTCCAACTCTTTGATAGTTAATTGGAGATGAGAGTTTTACAGACTTTCCTCACCAGGCTGACTTCAAATGGTGATCTTCAGATCACAGCCTCCTGAGTTTCTAGGATTATAGGTGTGAGCCACTGATATCTGGAAGCTGAGATGTTTGTGTTCTTCCATGATGCTAGACCAGAATTCTCAGCTCTACTCCCAGACTTAAAAATGGAACACAGAACAGGATGATTGAGTAAGAAGAGCCAGCAGCTAGCCATTCCCTAAACATAACACAGGACTACAGGCCAAAGCCATTGGATGGGCCTCAGTTATGCCTGATATTTCCAGGGCATGTTTATTCCAAAAGACTCCTCCAGCAATTTATGAGAAGGAATATTTTTTACCTACCCTTGGATGGAATCCAAGTCTGTTTAACAGTCCACGTAACACTGAACATCAATTTGGGCTGGAAGTGTAGAAAACTGTATCGTCTTGAAACTACAGAGGTGGAATTGAGGTCAGAAGATTATAAATCCTCTCAAATTTCAGTTAACCTCCTGCCCCAACTGTCTATCTTCCTCCGTTGATTAGGAGATCTGAAAAAACAGCATTTTTTTTTCAAAAAGAGGATCCTTCTTAAAATTGTGGCCTATTATAGGTACTGGTAAACCAGTGCAAGGCTTTAGAAAATGTCAGAACAGAACATCATCTGTCTTGTCCAGAAGAACCATGTTATTTGGTGGCAATGTGGAGCGTTTGTTGAAGGGTATTAGAAAACTAGAAAAGATAATAGTGATTGTGAAGATCAAATGCCTAACCAGAATGGAATTTGTTCTGGAGGCCAAGCTCTTCTTTACAGTTATAGTATCTTGATGAGATCTCCTTTCTAATGACATTTCTGGCCTTGTCATTGCTTCTGTAGGCTGGCCTTTGAGTTTGCAGGTTTTCCTAATTGAGGTAAGATAGCCTTTACTTTGTTGTTATTGTTGGTGGTGGTCATGGGGCTTGAACCCAGGGTGTGGCACTGTCCCTGAGCTTTTCCTGCTAAAGCTAGTGCTCTACCACTTGAGCCATAATGCCACTTCTGGTTTTCTAGTGGTTAATTAGAGATATGAGTCTCATGGACTTTCCTGCTTTGATTGGCCCTGAACCATGATCCTCAGACGAGCAGCTAGGATTACAGACCTGAGCCCCAGTGCCTGGCCAGCCTTTATTTATTTTTTATTTTTATTTTTTTGTAGTTGTGGGGCTTGAACTCTGGGCCTGGGTGCTGTCACTGAGCTCTTCAGCTCAAGGTTAGTGCTCTACT